AACAACAACAACAACAACAACAACAACAACAACAACAACAACAACAACAACAACAACAACAACAACAACAACAACAACAACAGCGACGACGACAACAACAGCAGCAGCAGCAGCGGCAGCAGCAGCAAGAACGGCAGTTCGAGCAACAAGAGTCGTATTGAAAGACAGGGTGGTGGAGACGGGAAGAGCTCAGCAGGAACGCACCTCGTCCACATTGTTGGTGTCTTGTATGCCCGACATTGATGTCAACGTCAAACACAGCCGGTGAAACGTCAGTAATGATTCTTGCCGTGATGGCTGGTTCTGCAAGGGGGGAAGCGAGGGAGAGGCAATGGGGGCGTTTGTTGCAGTCGCAGCGAGATGAGAGACAACGAGAAGGGAAACAAAGCAAAATGTGAGAGGGGAGGGAAGGAAAGGAGTGAGACTTGCTGTTGGTGGCAGAGGCGTCAGCCTTTGGTTGGAGTGCAATATGAAGTGGCTTGTTTACTCGTCTGTTTGTGCGCGCAAGTATGCGTGCGTGTGCTGTGGGTGGCGAGCTTTCTCAAAACCCAATTGGGGTTGACCTTTGCTCGCCTGCGGATCGCGTGGACAAACCATGGCATAGCGCATATGCAAGCAAGCCACCTTTGCATTCCTTCAAACACTGGTGGGCAAGTGGAAGGCAAACAGCGCCTACCCCAGCTGGGCAGCTCAACGAGAAAACTTACTCATGCACTGTTGGATGACGAGGGTGGGCGAATAGCACACAGAGCTCACGACGCCAGCGCAGCGTTGGTCGAGCAGACAGTGGCCGTGGATCTATCTCAGCAAGGGGAAGCGGGAGCGCGGGAGCGATGAGGCAGAGAGATGCTCACACGTCAGCCCGTCCAGTAGAAAAGGAAGGAGCGCTGGGTAGGTGGGCACGAGCGAAGTAGGTGGGCACGAAGCGAAGCGTGGTGGGGGTTGTTGCTTCTCCCACTGATGGTGTGTGAGTGTGCGCAGCTTTCCTTGAAGCAGTGTGTTTTGCCTTCGACAGTCAGAAAATTGTTGGAAACCATTGCTAATCATCCAACAAGCGCTTAACTTTTCGACCACAACGTGGTTTGGGTTGTGGTTGTTGTGGTTGTGGTTGTGGCTTGTGGCTGTTGTAGTTGTGGCTTGTGGTTGTTGTAGTTGTGGCTTGTGGTTGTGGCTTCTTGTGGCTGTGGTGATGACATGCATGGTGTGTCTTCTTACACTTGCTGCAACAGCGTGGCGGGCAGGTGGCTACAGCTTGCTCTGTTGGCTTGTCATTTGCTTGTGTCTTTGCTGTGAAGTGAACGCAAGGCGCATCTCTAGAACCATTGACACCGACACAAAACAACACAAACAAGAAGGCGCACAACACAGACGAGCGGGACGAAGAGAGGAAAGGACACAGGCGCGAGCACAGCAGCACCATGGCTCAAGGACACAGAGGCACACAGGCACGCACAATAAGATGCTGGTGTCATGCTACATGTGTGATCTGTGTGTGTGTGTGTTTGTGCTTGTGTGAACGTGGGTGTGCGTGCGCAGTGACGTGGGGTGTGGCGTGACCGATCATCGGAAGGACAGGATGCCAGACTGGGCCAGCTTCGTAATCTTCTCCGCAATCGCAGGGTTCTTCATGTGCCTGATGATGGGAAAGGGCAAGTGAGTGAGTGAGTGAGTGAGTGAGTATGTGTGTGTGCGTGTGAGTGCGTGTGAGTGCGCGCGCGCGTGTGTGCGTGTGAGTGAGTGTGTGTGTGTGTGAGTGCACGTCACGTGTACGTTGGGCACGTGCACAGCGTGCGCGAACAACGTGACAAAAGCGTCGTGTGTACGCATGCGTGTACGTACTCTGCCAGGGCCTTGGGGTCCTGGGACATCTGCTGCAGAATCTGCTGCATCACGGGGTCAGCCATAATTGCCTGCCACAACCACACAACACCACGCAGAAAAAACAACCAAAAACAAAAACAGGGCATTTGGTTGGTGTGGTGGCCATGGGTCAAATAACGAAGGAGAGCGGACGGATGCAGGTGGAATGTGCAAGGGGAGGGGGGAGGAACAAGACGAGAAGGGGGGGGGGGCAAAGGCGAGCGGAATCACAAACAAACAAACAAACAAACAAACAAACAAACAAACAAACAAACAAACAAACAAACAAACAACAAACAAACAAACAAACAAACAAACAAACAAACAAACAACCGCAACCCAGGGGGGGGGAAAAGGGGCTGACCTGGATCTCCGGGTCCTGCATGGCCTGCTGGGCGCGCTCCTCCTGAAACATGCCGTATCCGGCCTTCTGCGCAAAGCACTTCTGCAAACCGTTCTTCGCCTCGGCGTGGTTCGGGTCAAGCTTCAGCGCCTGGACACAACAACGCAAACGGGGTTGGGGGGCGAAGGGGGAAAGGGATATGAAAAACAAAAAGCGCAAAAAGGGTGTGCGTGTGTGTGTGTGTGTGTGTTCGTTGTGTGTGCGTATCATTCAAAATACATGTGGTGTGTGTGTGTG